AGTTGCCAGGCAGGAGTAAAAGAAGACCTCAGAGAAGATTCATGGATGTAGTGTAGGATATACAGAGGACTGATGTCATAGAGGACAGGGTGAGATGGAGGCAGATGATTCATTGTGGAGACGTCAAAGTGGACCAGGCAAGAGGAAGAAGAATGAGGCAAATCTGGCTTCATCATAAGAGACAAAGAAGTGTAGAGTGCGGGACTGAAAGATCTGAAAGAGGTAGCACCTTGGCAAACAGAGCTCCTGCTAAGCTATGAGATTTTTAAGACAATGAAATTAACAGCAGCCACCTAGAGGAATATGTTCAAATACTCTGTACACACCATTTTTAATGCAGTGAAAGAAAAAAGTCAGTTCATCTAATGTTGTAGAACGTTTTATTAAAAGAGAATAAAGCTTTGAGATAATCGAGATCATGTGTAAGAAAACCAGAAGTCAGCCACCGCTAGAAAAAAAAAAAAAAAAACTGGACCAAAAAGAAAAACAAAACAAAAGAAAAAAAAGATACAAACCACATTAAAGTTACGATCCCTTGTCTCCTCCCAGACTTCCCTCTTCACCCCTCCCTCCCTCCTCCACTGGTAACGGTTTTCCACTATTTACCACTCCTTACGCGTGTGGATCCATCCTGCACCTCCCAGCCCTCCTCCTGGATTTGATCCATGCTTTTCTCTTCTTTTTAATTATTTAAAAAGTAAAAATAAACGGTGCGGCACTGTGTAGCCAGTAAGTCTGTCTGTGTGAGGTCCCACACAAAAAGGGAAATTTTGGAAAATTCGAAAGCCAATTTTCTCTGAATATCGCACTACAATGGTTCCGGTTTGATGGGTTTATGTGGACAGGGCCAGGGGGTCGGGATCTTCTCCCGGTAAAAACGCTCCTATGATCCTGCTCCATGTTTCCATCCTGAAGCCTAATCCTAAACTGATCCTGAATCCTGATCCAGCTCCGGAATGGTGAGACAATGAGCCCAGTCCAAACCTTCAGAATACCAGCAGAACCAAAGAGAAGGAGGCGAGTTAGAATCACACCTTCAGGAAAATGCTTGAAGTAATGTAAATAAATGCAGCTACCAGGGAGTTTACTTTGAGAAAAAGGAGAAAACCATCTATAATCAAGCCCAAAATACAAAGATTTACTTTGTATGATAAAGGATGAGAAAAAGCACCAAAAAAAACCCAAAAAAAAAAAACAAAACAAAAAAAACTTAACTACTGAAAACATTCAAACTGGGCCCTATTGTCAGATTTATGCTTTTTGAAAAAAGAAAAAATGAACAGCCTTATAATTTCACAGTTGACAAGGCACAGCCATCATACCATTGGTGCCACATTTGACTCCTCCTCCTCCTGTTTATCCTAATATGAACTGTTTCCTCTGTTCCCATCCTATCCTGTTCCTCTGAACTCTGAACAGAGAAACACACAAGAAGGTCAAAAAGACAGCAGTATTTCGCCTGAAGGAAGTAAAAAAAATAAAAAAAATAAAAAATAAAAAAAAAAGAATCTTTGCAAATGAAGCAAAAAACATTCAACACTCAACCAGGACAATCAGGAGAAGAGAGGTACACAGATGAATTAGAGATGACACAGCAGAAGCAGAACACGTTTTGAGAGAAGAGAAGAAATAATGGAGCAAAACTCGGTCATGTGCACGCTCAACTGGTCTGCAAAAATTAGAATGGAAAATAAAACTGCAGGTGGGTTGGTGTCGGTTAGGGAAGGAAGCACACACCATGACAGCATACATAGGTGACACACGAGATGATCCTTGATGAATACACAGGATTCGTTGAGTAATGTGAAGATTTCCACTCTGGCTCTTAGGTCAGGCTTGCCTAGGTGCGAGAGCGGGAGCGAGAGCGGGAATGGGACCGGGAGCGGGAGCGAGAACGGCGGGGAGAATATCGGGGAGATCCTCTGTTGCGGCGTGGGGAGTAGCTGCGTGATCCACTCTTGCTCCTGCTTCGACTGCGGCTACGAGAGCGAGAGCGACCGTAGCTGGGGCTCCGAGGGCCGTCCATCTTCACACGGATATAAGCCGTCTCACCCTGAACACAAACATGAGCACACATCACCGACCATTCCTTTTCCTGTTATATGAAACCCACATACAGAAATAGCTAACCACATTTTTCCTGGTTGATGCATTAGTCATAAATAAACAGACATACTGCTGCACAACAACCCCAATCCACACATCAGAATTTTAAATTGCATTCATAATCAGCCAATTCATCATTCAGTAAGATCGTTTCTGTTAATATAAAACAGATAAGCCAATTATTGATTCTTATCACCAGGAAATCTTTACAGTTGAGCATTTTGCTTTACTTACTGCAAATTAACTGTCACATTCCTTACAATGTTTAAGTAAGCTTTTCAATGTCTGTGTTGGCTCTCAGTCATCTGGGTAATGGTAGTCTTAACAGCTTTAAGAGATTGAAGATAAAGGAGGAAGAAAAAAAAAAAAGGCATCAAGACTTCTTTAGGTTTGCAAAGACGTTTCACTTCGCAGCCAACAGGCTCCTTCAGTTCTAAGTGATCCTGAAGGTCTCCTACCCATCTGTGGTAGCAATAAGGAGCAAGAAAAAGCATCAGTGCCAACTGATTCACAAGGTTGGAACGATGATTGGCCAGAATTTGGAGGACGCTCAAATTGCTCTCCATCTTGGACAATCCATCTCACCCACTCCACAATTCTGAGTAAAAGAGTTAGTTCTCCCTCACGCCGACATTCCTGACATTTTCTGTGAAACTGTAACTAACTGTCTTTCTGTAACAAGCTAATTTTTATTCTTTATCCTGCCGCTGTAACAAAACAATTTCCCTTGTGAGATCAATAAATGATATAAAACAAATGGTGGAGAGTCCCGGGTAATTAAAGTGTAGCAGCATTTGTTCCCTTTGGCAGCGGCTCCAAGTATCATTGACCCATTACTGATCATGTGAGTCAGCACATGAGCCAAGGTGGGTTAATGCTACATTTTGATGTCAAGGTATGCTGCCTATGAATTATTTAGTTCCTGGGTCTGGTCTGACTTTACAAGTGGCACATCCAAGTTCAGGGGGTGTTCCAGATTAAATTTCTGACTGGAAAACAGAAATTCTGACTTATTCAGGAACACACCATAAATATCTGTAACTATTTGTTTTCCGTTTGATTAATAGTGAAACCTCTTTGCAAGCCTAAAGAAGTCCAGTTGTCGCCTTTTTTTTCTTCTTCTTCTTCTTCTTCTTAAGACTAAGCTTTTCAAGTTAGTCCTTATTAAGAGAGTCTGACAATGTGAGGATTTACATACCTCATGGGAGCGAAACTTTGTGTTGTCCAGTTTACGGACGGCGTAGGTCATGTCTTCTTTGCGTACAAACTCCACCACACCAGTGCCATCACGGAACACATCAGCATAACATACATCACCTGCTTCCCGCATGTGATCCTTCAGGTCCTGCCAGCTCCCGCTGGGGGGAAGGCCTAACAAGTAAATAACAACAAAAGTTTTGTAAGCTTTACACATACAACTACACACTTTTAAACTAGAGACCACAACCTTCAGATAGAAAAATACACCACTCACCTGAGACAACCACCCTGTTCTCCGAGCGTCGGGATGGGGGACCATACCTTCCCCTTGGGGGTCCCATTCCCCCTCCTCCTCCTCCCCCTCCTCCAGCGCCACCACCACCACCTCCACCTCCTCTTCCACTTCTAGGGAACTCCACACGCAGACGGTAGCCATCGTAATCATATCCATCACGCCCATAAACAGCATCTTCAGCATCCCTGTGAAATCGAACAGTGAAATAAATAATCTAATACCAATAATGCAAACAAACATGCAGTTTTACTCGTATCTCAGTCTTTGTCACAGACCATTTAAAAATGGGGAGGAAATTAGCCTCTTATAGTGGACTTATAGATGATAGATATTTTTGTTAAATCGTTTAATTGGTATCTTGATCATTACCCATCAGCTAAAAAGTGGTTTGGTAGTAGCCCATTTGCAAGCACATTCACAGGTACTTAACGGGGTAAACCGCCAATTAACGTGGCCTCCTGCAGGCCTCAACAACACACATTTCACGACAATCCAAAAAGAGCTCCAATTACTCGACTCAAACCTTCTCCTAAACCAAATTCTTGCTACAGGTTATATCCCGTCAACTCGCACGTTGTGTCCACTTATTTGGGTGTAGCTGGCTAACTGTGGAGATAACAGGCAGACGTGGCGGCGGGACAATGCGGCTCACCTCGGGTCGTCGAACTGCACGAAAGCAAACGGTGGTCCTCCTCTTCGGTTCTTCAGATCTATATCACGAATACTTCCGTACTTGTAAAATAAGTCTTCCACGTCTTTTGAACGTATGTCGGGAGGGAGATTTCCCACATATATCCGACAGTCGTTACTCCCCGCGGGTCCTCGAATAAGACCGCCAGACATGATGGCGCAACGCGAGGGAAGTTAGCAAGCCGGCTAATAGATCAACTTTTGGTAAAGAAATGACTAGAGTGGCGCCTAGATAGTAAGCGGCATGTACGAACTACGCGTTAGAGATTCGGTTTAAGCTACACCTTAATAAAAATTGAAACACTTCGAAGCGGAATTCAAACAGCGAGATAAGCAAGGGCTAAAAGTTGCAAGCAGAAGCTACCGATAACGGATTCTTCTTCACAGGGTACGTCTAGCTTTAAAAGGCGTATACCGCCACCTATCGGAGAGTGGGGTTACACTTTAAAGCGTAACCCGTAACCTGAGCCACAGCTGTTCAGATGGTAGGGTTATCTACCAGTCTGAAGCTCAGTGGATTGATCTATAAATCCTCGAGGAAGATCCTAAACCCCATTGATTAGAGTGTGAGTGAACGTGTTAATGTTAGAAGGCGTTTAGGTATAAATACCGAGTGTATGAACAACTGTATAATTGGTAAATGTGCTCTGATTGCTCAGGCGCCCAGCCCATTGTACCAGCCCATTAGGTATTGTGCAACAACAAAAGATGGAACTTTAGTTTTTATTTCTTAATAACATGAGAAATAAAATAAATAAACTGAAGCTTTCAGCCATGCAGTGTCAAACAGTCGCTGCAATCACTCAGTACATCAGGCATAAATCCTTGTACAAAACAATAGGAGTTGTAAACCCCAAACCACAATGGTTCACATGAGCCTTTTCAGGCCACTAACGAAATGGTTTGTTCATACAGTTTCTTTGTTCTTCTTCTCCTGCTTGAGTGCCTCTTATTCCTTTTTGGCTTGCTTTTCTCTGCGTCTCTGCCTGGCCTCCGACACTATTTTCAGCATTGAGAGCAGAATGGGCACGCACATGGGCAAGAAGAGTGGTATGTAGATAGCAAACTTCTGATCGTCTGGAAAGTAGAGCAGGTGAAGGAGCGAAGGGTCGAAGAATGCTTTCTCCGAAGCCAAGATGGCCTCTTTGCTGTACTGCAGAGCAAAGCCGAGGTTTCCGACCTCCAGCTCAGCCATGGCCAGCTGCAGGGACGTGACAGCACTGGACACCTGCATATTAGCAAATTAGATCACAGGTTATGTATTATTATTGTTATTATTATGAAATTAGAGGAGACTACCTAATTGTTAGCCGTAAGATACCACTCTGATACCGAGACTGAAATGGCCTTTTGTTTTATTTGGGTTCATTCGGTTTGTCTTTGTGTTCATATATGCAGTCTTCGTGTGATATGAAAGTGTTATTTTTTGGTTTTCCATAGGGCAATTTTTTTGTGTATCTTTTCTTTAAAAAAAAAAAGAAAAGGCATTGACAAAATTTAGAGTCAGAATTTCTAGGTGTGCACCCAAGTGGCAAAAAGCTTCTAATTTTGTGGCTTCAGGTCCTCATCTTTGCTTTTTGCATATGATGTGGTTCATCAGGTGGTCGCCTCCAGTTCACTTTGGAGCAGTTCACAGCTGCATGTGATGCAGCAAGAATGAGAACTAGCACTTCCATGTCTGAGACCACAGATCTATGCCAGGTGGAGTGCCCAGTCAGGGTTAAGCTCAAGTTGCTGCCCCAAATGGGGGATTTTTCAGTATATCGGGCTCTTGTTGAGTGAGATGCAGACAGAGGCAGACAGAGGGACAGGTCTGCAACTTTGTCCACTAGCTTCTTGGTACTAACTCAAAAGAATGAGAACGTGGATATAAGCAATATAAATGAGCTTTCTCCGAATGTTGGCTGACCTCTCCCTAGAGACAGGCAAGGGTTTCAGTCATCTAGGAGGGGCTCAGAGTAGAGGAGCTGCTCCTCCACATTGCAAAGAGCCAGCCAAGGTGGCTCAGCCATCTGACTAGGATCCCTCCTGGGCATGTCCTGTTCCTGGCCTGTCCTTCTGGGAGGATGCACCTGGGCAAACCCAAGACATGCTGTAGAGATTACATTTCTTGGATGGCCGAGAGACCGAGGGTATGCCTCTGTGTTCCCCGGGCTGCTGCAATGGCGATCTGGACACGGATAAGTGGCAGAAGATGCATGAATGGGTTTTATTATTCTATTAGTTTAGGGAGAGAGGTTCTGGGTCCCACAGCCTCCTGTGTGGCTGGCCTGGACTCCTTCCATGTTTATCTTACCGTCTTCCAGGCCTCCAGACCTTCATTCTGTTTAAATAAAATAAGTATTGCTGACAAATTCAAACTCTGGTGTGGCATCCTCTTTATATGTTGCAGTCACTGAGATTAATTGAGCTTTTTTGGGGGTTTTTTTTACTTTTTGAGCTGGCTGTGACAACAGAAATAGTTTCTGATTTTGTTTTTTATGTTTCTAATTTCTGCTTATGTATTGAGATTGCTGATGTTGTTCCTGACTTCCCCCAGCTAGGATCTGATTGCACTACATTAAACAGATGCTCTTCTGGCCAATCTTTGTTACCTGCCAGTGCAAATGAACCAGAAGCCCCTCAGAGTAGAAGCTTACTAACTAACTTTAGTTTGCGTCCTCACTACTATGTCGCTAGTACAATAATACAATTATTAAAAGAAGGATGAATTTTGGATTTTTTTCTTCAGGTGATGAGCAGGAAGTAGCTTGTTTATTGTTGATTAACTGACAATAACAAAGTATTTAACAACAAAATAAAGTCACATATGACAGTTTTAAATTCAAACTGAGAAACCAAAACAATGACATAAATCTCCATAATCAAAGTTAAGATGTGTTAAGAAATCTACGCACCTGCACAATTTTGCTACATGGAGCAAACGCATAACTACTAAAACACCTTCACCTTACCTGCTGTGCAATGTTGTCATTGATAACAATGTTGCCTATCTGGTCCAGCAACTGCGCCAGAGAGGTGATGGTGGTGGTTGCTGTTGCAATGTTTTCCACACTACGACTCCACATGAGGCGATCCAGCTCCCAGTCAGCTAGTCCTGTGCTACCACACGGTGCCACGAGGAAGCCAGGTGGGGGGCTTAATGACTGCACGCCCAGCAACAACCTGACAGGACACGGCACATGAAGGTTACTTTGTGTCGAGAGGAAAGAAAACGACTGCCGCACTGCGGGTTAACACTTACCGAAGCTGGGCGAGGAAGACTCCCATCACTTTAGCCATGTTAATGTTGACGTGAACAGGGAACTCCGTCTCCGACCCATAGAAACCATTCACGTTATAAACCTGCAAAAACATGGATAAATATAGGTTACAATACCCAACATAACAAAATAAACATGCAGCTCTCCCTCAGCGTTGCTCTTCGTTCTTCTTACCATGATTCCACCCCACCGTGGAGAGTGAAACGCATTGGAAGGGACTTCCTGTTTCCTGTGATCGTGGATGTAAAGGGGTGAATGACGAATATCCGGGACATACAGCAGAAAATTTAACACAGGGTTAGAAGATGCCGCATTAGAGCCTGGAAGTCAAACGCAAAAAAAAAAAGAATTAAAACATATTGTATTTAAATACAGCAGAAAAAGCTAAACCATGATCATTTAAAAAAGCAGACTTTTACCAAGTCTAGCCTCCACCGGGTTGATGACATGTGCAAGGCTGTCAGCATTGAGTGTGTAAGCCTCGAAGCTGCTGTCAAAGCGTGGTGTCACTCCGAGCATGGTGTAGTACAAGGTCTATAAAAAAGGAAAGGTAAACCTTAACTTCCAATAATTGAGCATCTTTTCTTTGTCATAATAGGGACTGTGCATTAACAGCACCTGAGAGTCCATGCTAAAGTTAGCCAGAGGGGACAGTTTTGTAAGCAAAGGCTGGATGTATGTCTGCACGGCACCCTCAATGTCCCAGTGCAGCTGGTGTGACTTTGGATCAGGGTTTAGCAGACTGAATGTGATCTCATAACCTGACAGGAAGATAAGAACAATCAAAGAAAAGACACAAACGTGTTCTCAGAGTTAAACCTGGAGCCAAATTACCAACCTGGGCTAGATTTGAAGGCTCTCATGCTGTCAGCAATGCTCTCTTTGTTGCCAGGTCTAAAACGGACTCTGTCGCTGAGTGCAACGGTGATGTCAGTGTGGCTAAAAGACATCACTTGGAGCACCTGCTTGATCTGGGGCTCCAACTGAGCCAGCAATTGCTCTAGTGTCTTGCCCACTCTCATCTGGGCGCTGATACGCACCAGGGCTGTCCTTCGCTGACCGATATACACATTCACATCCTGAAAGGCATGAAGGTGCAATGCATACTTTATTATCTTTGTCTTACCTGGAATATAACAAATAATTAATTGTGTTTCAAGCTCTGCAGGAGGTACTCTATTTACAATCTGTGACAGTAAATTATATTTTCTTCATTATCCTTTTTTCTAATAGTAATTAGCATGGAGTGATCACACTCATGAAATACAATAAAAAAGCTTCAGTTTTACCTCAGGCAGCAAAGAAGAGGACTCCGGGATCACATACACAACTAAAGAACCGCACGGACTCTCACTGAGCATGTGCAGAGACAGATCTGCCTCTAAAGCAGAAAAATTATCGTGATTATCAGCTGTGCTTTCTTTGAGAAAAAATGTCAAATGTCAACATCTGAAGTACCACAAGTTGGATTTGACAGGCTGCTGCTCACCTGCAGCAGTCGGCTTTTTCATGGCATCTTCCTCCATGATTGTAGCTGTGCGGTACTTTGTTTCATATCTGTACCTCAATGTTGTGTCCTCTGGAAAGAAAGTTTGAGAGTCAAACGACCTTGCAGGCTTCATATTCTGTGACCGCAGAATCATAAACTGCATGAGCAAATCACCATCCACTGTATGTTCCTCATCCTGCGTCTGCGTCAACGGGACCTTTTTCTGCTGTTCTGGCGTCACGGTGCCACGTGCAAACACAACCTCGACATCAGCGCTCAAATGCAGCTGCAAAATAAGAAATAACGTAGAGATAAGAATGTATTACACAAGGAAGATCAATCAACTACAAGGCATGAGAGATAAATGGAAACACTAAAAAACCTGCAGTTTAGCCAGATCTTTGATCTGACTGACAGGTAACCAGGCACGGTATGTCTCAGTTGTTCGCCACCACAAAGGGACTCCCACAATGATGACAACGGCTGCTATGGATAGAGCAGCAAGCTGACCTCGTCGACGCTCTGGGAGACAAACACACAGTATTGTTGTTTGAAAGATTTTCACTGATGATAAATCTGCTAATTATCTATCAATTAAAAATGGAGTACAGTAGAAATTAAAGTATACATTTGAAATACACCCATTTTAAATTAAATAACAGCTTAGTTAAAATAAACACTGTTTCACATTAAAATGACTAACTGTAACAATCGATCTATTACCAAAATAACTGCAGTAAAACTTCATTTAAACAGATAACTGACCAATTATTTCAGCTCTAAATGCCGACATTCAAACCTAACTTGTGATTCAGGCTAAAACAAAATCAGATCATTCATATAAGCACCAGCAAACATAATCAGAGTTTACCATGGTGTTTAAACTAAAAATACTCAATTGTTAAAAAATGAAATAGTTTTGGGGGGGGTTTTTTGCTTCTGGAAATCATTGAACAATATGTTAAATATAATATTTTAAAATAGGTTACACGCACTCACTGGCCACTTTTTTAGTCACAATTTGACATCACCAGCATAAAGGTAGGGATCCACCTTGTCTTGTATCAACAGTACAGGCATCTGGTGGTGTAACTGGTGTGGGGGATATGCTCTTGGCCCCTTAGCACCAACTGAGCCTCGTTTAAATACCATACTTGAGTTTTCTTGCTGACCATGTCCACCCCTTTGTGACTACAGTGTGGGATCGAACTCAGTAGTCTCACGGTGTACCTAATAAAATATCCGGTGACTGTATATTATGACAGAGGATTTTATCCCAATCCTTGACCCCTACGTACCCTCGATATGTCCAGACTGGTGACCACTGACTGAGTAAGACATTTGTGTCTATCATGCTGCATCAACTACAGTGTCTTACATGGTTGTAAACGAGGCTCAGTGTAAACATTAGGCATATTACTGCCCTTTGTGGAAGCTTTACTATCGTAAGTATTCCTTTAATTAAAAATATATATTTAAAAACACAAAACAAAAACAAATCATGTAGTAAACAGCAGGTGTTCTTGCAGTGGCAGGGCATCACCCCTGCAACTGGGGCTAGCTAGCCATTAGCTTCAAAGGGTCATAACATGGAGAAAACGGCTCCTGTTAGTCCGCTATGGTTGCACTCTGTACAAAGGTTCATGTTTAATAAATCTAACGCAAACCAATGAAAATGAAACACTTAATGAGAATTAAATCATTTACACTCATTTCAGTTACGAATCTACTCACCCACTTCCGTGATAGCCATTTCTTCCAATGAACTGGGAGGGAGCACTCGTGGATGCCAAGCAGCCAGCAGCACCGATCACATGACCAATTTTTAAACGTATCTAAGCGGTTCTTCGCGTGAGGACGAAAACAGAACCGTGGTTCATACAGATAGCTTACATTAAATTAAATAGGATCAAATATTTGCATAGACATCTGTCTGCCCGTATAGTTCTAAAAAGGTGTTAGGGCTGTACGTTGTTGTGCAAAGGATTGCAGGAGTGAAAATGACCGTCGGCGCAACCTGTAAAAGAATTAAACGCACAAACACACTGTGATAAATGTGGGTATTCAGCGCCATCTGTGGTAGCTTTAATTACGACAGGCTCAATTCATCTTTGTGAATGCATAAATTCCTTGAGCAACCAACAAAAGTGAGTATGCTTAGTGTTATTTACACAATTAACACATATGATCCTTAGTCTGCTGCCCCAGCAGCATGCCCGCAACATGTGGAAAAACAAGTCCACCACAGCCCTGTACTCTATCTCATCACTCTCGCTATTGCATCCAACCACCACAGACTCATTATAAAACTGATGAAGATACCAGGTCTCTGTGCAGTGGCTGAAGTCCGTGGTGTAGAGGGTGAATAGAAAAAGGGAGAGGACAGTTCCTTGTGGTGCCCTGGTGTTGATGACCACTTGTCAGACACAGAAGATGCACATATTGTGGTCGTTCTGTCAGGTAAGGACACTAGAGGGACATCCACCTGCATCAATCCACCTGCATCACTGCCATCTTCCTCAAGCTGTCCAGTAAAACCCAAATCTGATCTGATAACCCTGGGATGATATATGGAAGTTAGCCAGGGTGCTCAAGGACACCCAGAATAGGCAATAAGGGAGGAAACAGCTGCTCTCTCAGTTATGTATTTACCCTGCTCTGATTTGTCCAGCTGGTCCTGGTGTTAAACAGGTGACCTCATTACTTTTAGGTCAGCTTTGTTAAATTTGGGTGATTTGTGTGGTGACCCTTGGACTCTACTGGACACCACAGATACCCTTTCATAAAGTGCTTATTTCATCTAAATAATTTTAAGAAACTGGTAGCATCAGTAATGCTAGTGAAAATGGTGATACACATCTTGGACCCAGCATAAGGTACACTTTAGACCTCATGTTAGCACACGACTGAATGCTCTGTCCTGCCTCTCCATGACGGCCTTATTGACATCAGGAGATGGATGGTGATAAATCACTTGAATTTGAATGAGAACAAGATAGAAGTCACGTTGTTTAGATTCAGCGGCACCAGCAGCAGCCCCTGTATTGACCTTTCCTCATTGGCCCCATATGAGAAATCCATTATCACTAATTTAGGAGTGAAAATGGATCCTTCTCTAAAGCTCAAAGCTTATGTGAACACTGTAGCAAAAGCCTGCTTTTTCCAGTTGAGATGACTGCCAAAGGTCAAGCCACTCTAGTCCAACCTTGAAACATTAATACTTCTGTTTTAAAACCTCTTGTGTCAATTACTGCAATGCACTTTTCATTGGAATTGGCCAGGCCAGTTGCTCACCTACAGCGCCGCTCGATTTTTTTCTGGTGCAAGGACGCAAGAGCACATCACTCCAATTTTACCTTCCAGTTAGTTTACGAATCCATTTTAAAAATCCTTTTATTTGTCTTTAAGTCTCTTAATGATTCTACATAATTTTATCTGTCTGAGCTATTGCACTCTTATGTCCCACCTCGTTCTCAGGTCAGCAGACCAGAGACTTTTGCTGGTTCCAAAGACACAACGTAAACTCAGAGGTGACGGGGCTTTCGAAGTTGCAGCTGCAAAATTGTGGAGCGATTTTCTATATTTTTTACCTTTTGGCCCAAGTTTGTCTTTTACATTTGGTGAAGGAGACCCCGTAGTTGTTTTTAAAAAGGCTTTATAAATTCACACAGACTCACTGTCCACTGAAAGAAATTTTAGCTGGTGTGGTCTTCTGCTGCAGTAGCACATCTCCTTTAAGCCACATGATGTGTAGTGCATTCATAGATGCTCTTCTGCATATCTTAGTCAATGGTGCAATAGACCTCAATACTTGAAATGTGCAATTCACTTGTATTTTTATTCCTATTTATCCCCTTCGTATATTTTATTTATATTTGTCTCTGTATTTATGTGTGTGTGTGTGTATATATAATATTCTGTAACTGTAACTTCTGTCGGTGCTGTGCTTTTGGAAACCGAATTTCCTAGAGGAACCCACCCGAGGGATTAATAAAGTTTTATCTTATCTTAGCTATTGAGTGGTTATTTGAGTTACTGCTGCCTCTCTATCAGCTCAAAGCAGTCTGGCCAGTCACCTCTGCCATCAAAGCATTATCATCCAGAGAAATACTGCTCACTGGATATTTTTTCCCTTCTTTTGGACCAGTTTCCGTAAACCCTGACCAAAGTAATATCCTACGTGTTGCATTCTGATCTTTAGCTTTAACTTCAGCAGGTCATGCCTACACACCCTGAGCTGCTTCCATGTGACTGTCTATCCAATCTGCAAGATTGAGCGTAAAACACATGACTTTGACTCAGAAAGGGGGTGCATGTAGGCATATATACACCTCCAGGAAACTGAAAATAAAGTTTAAATATGCAGATTAGTGTTGGCCATTTAATTTCAAATCACAATAAGCTGATTGTGTAAAGGTAATGATATCAGCCAACTAAATATAATTAAATACTCAACATTGATTTCTAAAATGTAGAGGCAGTAAAGATTCTAAATAATAAAGTAGCAATATTTGACTAACATGCATAACTCTGTCATCGCCAGTATCAGGACAGGTGTAGAAAATTCCATCACACAAAAGCATCTGATGTTTTAAGGTTTTAGTTTATTTTTCTCCACTATTTGACACACCAAGTGCTTAAAGAACAATATTAACACCACAAACGGCACAGTACTCCAACACAGCAGCGACCGTTTCCCCGCTGCTGACCCCACGCCATTGGTCCATTGGATGTGAATGTCGATAGAAACTAGTCTGGTCGTTCGGTAGGGCAGGCAGGGGGGAAATCAGGTGGGAGGATGACACACTAGCATCACATAATATTGACACCTTCACACAACTGAATACATCGATTACTGCATGTAATGTTAAGCTAATGAACAGACACACAAGATGGTTGTTTGTTTTAAAATTCAATAATGGTGATAAGGAGCACAAGAACAAAAAAAGAAAAAAAGAAAAAGGAAGAATCCTGGTGTGTAGTGGCTTATTACAGTATGTGCCTGCTAACATCTACTAGATATACATCTGTCTGAAAGCACAACAGAGCACTCCACGCTTTTGTTCAAAAGATCAACTCGGCTCAACATTTTCACCTCGTCGGCCATCTTGCTCCTTAACGCATGTTCTGATGCCACTAATAAGCAGTTGGTCCCACTTGGTGTCAGTGCGGATGTTAGTAGAGCGTTTCAACAATGAACAAATGCCGTTCTGACAGAAGCGAAACACTGACACAAACATGCTGATCTGGCCTGCTTGGGAGTGATTTGATATTTTGTGTGAAGTGGGCAGAGACAGCTGCGTGAAAGAAGGAATGTGGAATGAATACTGACTAAACATTTTTGATTATCCTCCAACCGTTTAACTTCAAATTGTCTCAAAACTAACCATTTGTTGAAACTGGGGGGAATTTAAAAAAAAACAAACAAAAAAAGACAGATGACCCATGTCTGTTTCCTTTTGTACTGTGATGTCACATGATGGTTTCAAATACACATATCTAATAATGTAAATTTAAGAACTCTAAAGTAAAGCAGACAGCACAGGCCTGTGATTGATGGAGGAGTGAAGAAGGGAGACAGCAGAGCAGATATAAGACTATAACTATGCCACAGCTCAACGTGGTAGTTTGCTGTTTAATAGGCGTGATTAGCCACGTAGAGGGACTGGGCTGCGGCGGTGCCACTTCCGGAAGACTCGTACTTGCCGAGTGCAGCCAGACCGTTAGCCTGGAGAAGAAAAAAAACAAAACAAACATAAGCAAAAGAGCAAAGAAAGTTTTGCTTTTTTAAATTAGCAGTACAAAGGACACATCTGATGTCCCTTCCTGTGGTCTGACCTCGGCGCGCTTGACGAACTCCTCGGTGGCGGCCTTCTCGTTGTTCAGCTGTCCTTTCCAGGCGTTAAGAGCTGAGGCCTGCAGGGCACGGCCGTAGGAGAAAGTCAGGGCCCAGGGCTTGGGGAGTGGGCAGTTGTTGATGGCATTAAGGTTCACACTGGCCTCTTCCTCAGACTGGCCACCAGACAAGAACGTCACCCCTGTTTATACAAAAGAAACACGAGTTACCGATCTGCTCATACCTGATGTCGAGGAAGATTTTAAAGGTTTTCGAAAGCATCTTTCCCTGCATGTTTGCACTCTGCAGGTAGATATAAACGAGTGAAAGAATCTAGAGATTTAAGTATTACTATTAGGAAATCAAAGCAATCTGAAAAATGCCAAGACGACCAATTTACTAGTCAACTCATCCAAATTCCAAGGGATGATCTAACTGATTTTATACATTCACAAAAGCATGTTTCAGCTAGCAGTTTATCCATGATAACATATAATGGTTTAACTTTTAAATATGCTGCTCTATTAAGTCACTTGGAGCCCTGCTGTTGCACACCGATACTGTCCCACTCCCTGAATTTTTCCTATTATATACACACAAGTATCTTGCCTGGGACAGCAGGAGGCACTGTGCGGCGCAGAGCAGTAACAGTAGCCATGGCGATTTCTTCACTGCTGTACTTAGTTGGGCAGGAGTGTCCAGCTGTGACCATGTTGGGCTTCAGCAGTGTCCCCTCGAGGTACACGTGGTGGTCCGACAGAGCCTTGTACACTGCAGCAAGGACCTAACAGCAGGAGACAAACGACAGCACGCAAGTCCAAACTTGAACTCTCCAGAACAGATAAAGGTGGCAGAGTTCCACATTCTGCAACATGTTACCTTCTCGGTGACGTACTGGCAACGCTTCAGGTCATGATCTCCATCGGGAAGGATCTCAGGCTCCACAATTGGAACAATACCATTCTGAAAGAGATTAGAGTGTAAATTTAACACCAGTATTTTAGAAATATACAATACTACCATTTGATGATCACTAGTGTCCTTTCCAAAAAAAGGAAAGGAATCCTCTATAGTACCACACTAACCTGTTGGCAGATGCTAGCATATCGTGCCAGCACGTTGGCGTTCTCAAAGATGGCCAGCTCAGACGGTGTGGTTTCGCTGATCTTCAGCACACAACGCCACTTGGCGAAATCTGCGCCGTCCTTCTTATACTGCGCGCATCGCTCGGACAGCCCATCCAGACCTGCACTCAAACAACGCACAGAACCAGCCATGAGAAACACACAGGGCTTCTGTGAAGTTCATTTCAGTTCTCAAACTTGTGCGTCTACTGTCTCCTACCCTGAGTGGTGGTCTCTCCATTTGTTCCAGCGAGGGGTACAACACCCTTGTCAACCTGTAAAGACAAACAGAAAATGTTCTGAATTTGACCTGAAATAACTTTAGCCCAGTTGGTCCTAACAACATGATCTGCTGTTATGTGTGGGTCTGAGTGTATGTAAACACACTGAAAGCGTGTTTTTTTTTGGTTTAAGAAAAAAGAAAAAAGAAAAAAGAAAAAAAAAACGAACACCTTTCAGGTTTTACCTGCTAAACGATGAGGGTTTACTCTGCCTGCTAAGCTGAGTCACTTGACTGCATTATATCAACAGCAAAGTGATGATGACATTCAAAACAAGAGGAGGTTGAGATTTTCAGCACTCAGGCTCTTGTGTTTTAAGGTCGACTCTGAGCACGACAAACTATGTAAACTAACACGTAACGGCACAAACCAGGCAATGCAGCAGAAGCATAATGAAACTGAGCTAAAACTAATTTTCAAGAATGCACCAGGGTAAACTGATTACCCAGCAACGGCAATCCCCTGCCTACCTTGATGCCAACGACAATGCCGCGGTCTTTGATGAGCTTGGCGAAGTTGACGCCATCGTCAGTGTTCTGGTAGAGGGTTTCATGGAAGAAGATCACACCTCCGATACAGCTGTCGATGCGCTGGTCGGCTGTGAAGAGCAACTGGCGGTAGCGGCGCCTGTTCTCCTCAGTGTTCTCGACCCCAATGGGGTTCAAACGCTTTGCCATGCTGCCTAAAGAGCAAAAAACAAGGACATGGATTTAATAAAATACACACAGACGACACAAATGCCATTTATTTAGCATCATTTACAGTATAGAATGGCTTTCAGCAGAAGACTAAAACTGCTTGTTTGCAGTAATCTTATAGAAACAATAACATGCATCTTTTTTTTATGATCTCTTTAAATAAACGCACAGGCAATTCTAATTTCACATGCAACTCACTGCATGTTCAGTGTACTGTATGTTGGTATTCAACCATGTTTAATGTTGCGTTTCAATCAGCCACCTTTGCTGAAACACCGACACACCAACACATACCGGTGGACTCATCAGCTGCGAGGATGCCTTTGCCTGGAGCTACTATCCTATGAGCAATGTCCTGCAGCTCCTTCTTCTGCTCAGGGGTCAGTGCGGGATACTGGTGAGTCATGGTGGCTGAAAGAGAGCGAAACACACATACTGCTTCACTATGTGCAAACCTGGATGACTGCCCAGGGCTGGCCTCATTTAATGTCTCCATTGTCTGCAGCTCAACTATACTGTTATACCAATGAGCTTTTCTAAGTTAAGTGCAGCCAGATTGGTGAAAATGGGCAAACTCCTACACGATGGCACTTAATCACACCATACAAGAACATGACATGTGTGCAAGATGCGAGCAGTACATTTCCTTTTTCCTGAGAGTTGAAGGGGGGGGGGGAGGAAAGAAAAAAAGTAATTCAGTAAAATCACTTATTGTGACTAGAAGCAAACACCCCATCTTGTTGACATTCATTTTCATGCATCATCTGGTGTCAGTCATTAAAAACAGAAAGCTTGGTGGCAGTGACCAAACTCCATAAACAGCCTTCAAACCAGATTATTTAATTCCCCTTTCCCTTCCTCACTCTTCCATAAATTAGCAGTTACGTAACCCCTCACCTCCCCCATGTGAACCACACCAGACGGATGGAGGGAGGGGGAAGGGGTTGTGTAACAACGCTCCTATAGACTCTGCTGCCAGTCCTCATTATAGCTGCAGGCCTGGATGCAACACGGCTCGTTTCCCCCTCCTCAGCAACACTCTTTGTTTTCCTCTGTCATTATACACCTCTCTGCAAGTTACACCTTTAGTTCTTCGCCTGGAGTGACACGTCACGCGTCCATTTAAGCGCTGCTGTTCTCAGACTACAAATTATTTCTACTGGAGCCATGCGATATGAGTGCATCAAGGATTTGTAAATTTCCGTTCTCACTCCAGCTAATGCACTGTGTGCCTGAGAACAAGCTGTGACTTGTCTGTTTGGCTATATTGGTATCCGAGGTGCTCCCGCTGAACACAAGGCTGTAGCTTTGTGCACAACGCTGCCGGGTGTGGGCCACAATAGCAGGTCATCCATTGGAGAATTCGATAGACGATTCATTTATTCTACTAAATGTTCCTCCACAGCAAGCAGTGTCAACTAAAAGCTGGAATTGTCAGTATATTGTAAAGGCACACATTCATAGGAGGCTGTAATACAGCTTAATGATAAAGTCAGGGAGGCTGGTTTATTGTGAGAGCACACCGTCTGATATACTCCCTGTACCCTCTGTGTTAATCCTCAGCTTAAAGCTATGAGATAACCTTTACAGTACACACAGGCCTCTCAATGAAATCAGTGTGCAACTCTTATCACACACACACACTCACACGGCCAGGCCTGCAGGGCATATCGTGTCCCCGAGGAGAATAGCTTCAGCAGGGGTACAAGCCGCATACTTCACATCTCCAATGAATAAAAGGAAGTATTTACACGTGATAAAAGCCAACCTAAGGGCACAGGCACGTGTGCCCTCAGCTCTGCTCCACTGTCTGTACCAGCCAAAAACCATGCTCAGCAAATACCTGCCCTCCTTTGTGAAGCAGTACGACTCCACCGTGGTGGAGTTTCGCTAAGGAAACATTGCACAACAAGCTAACTCAATAGGAAATCTACAGTTTATGCAACAACTGGCCAAAAAAAAAAAAAAAAAAATAACGGAAAATCACTAAAGATGACAACTTTACATTGACTGGAGGCTTACGCTGAAATCACGGCTCAGCCCCAGCAGCCTATGGAGGCCTGCTTACCCACAGAGAGCGTCGGTGGAGGGAGTGTACCAGTATACTACACAACTATGTAGTATAACTGGTCTGCGGGCTACTCCTGGTTATTCTGTTATTGGTCCATCAGCTCGGGACAGAGTAGAGGGAAGTTACAACATGAAAAGAGCTGAAGTGAAACAAAGTGTCAAACACATTGAGAAGTGACCACCACAGTCACTGCCTGTGCTTCTCCCAGTCCCTGTGAATGTCGCCACGTGTCAACCAATCGGCATTAAACTGACACATAGGTCATCCGCAACCAGGGACATGCATCCGGGATTTTGGACGAGTGCACAGGAGCACGTTTGCAATGGGTGAAACCCTGTCTTTTTACACCGTCCATAGGGAATTGCATACACAAATTAATACAACCCCCTTAAAAGAACAATATGAGGCAGGACTCTAGCACATTATCAGCTGGGGCAAGTTTGGTAGTAGTGCACTAGAGTTTATGCTTGGAGGGTTATTAGCTTTTTTAAAAAAAAAAAAAGAAAAAGAAAAAAAAAGATATTGGCTAAATGTGCAAGTATAAAGTTTTAGAATCACTACTATGCATCAATGCAACAACCACAGAGAGAGAGTGTGTGGTGTCAAGGACATTTCTCTCTTTGGTAAAGTAACCTGGGAAAATATTTGTCATATAGGATTATCCTTCTGTCTCTCTTAATCTACGATGGCTCCCAAATCAAAAAATGGGAGATTGTCAGAAGGCTGTGGCTGAACTGCTTTAGACATAATCAGGTGATGACAACTCAGCTTATGTTACTCACAGCCAAAGGAGGTACTAATCTTATGTTTTCCATTTTTGGGTTTGCTTCTTGAACGTCTCCAGGAAACAGTCCCAGAGGAGGCCATTAGAACAAAGACAACTACCTCACTCTGTGCCACACAAGCACCACTGCAGGGCCTTGCACCACAGATGTGACACACAGAAAAAAAAAAGTCCATTATTCAGAGCATAGGATGTTAGGGAAATGACCTGATCAAGAGAATTAAAAGGAAGGCTTTTCATTGGTGTTTGAGTTTAAATATTTCCGCTTTGCATATTCCTTTAGCTTCATGATCTATTCATGAAGTCAAGTGATTATTTGAAACCATTTTGTTTTGTTTTTTGAGTTAATATTAAAATACAGAATTTTTTGGGAGTTCGGTAGAAGCCTCAACTACCCAACTGTAGCAGATTTAAAGAAACTATAGCACATCCTATAAAAACTGTAGGACATTACAATTGGGTGAACCTGCGTCTTCATTTGTATTGACTAACCTGAGCTACAGTATTAGGCTAAGAACTCTTTAAGCCTGGAGAACCCATGGGGTCAGATCCGACCCCATTGGTTTACTAGGGAAACCATGGGGTCAAATTTGACCCCATGGGTTCTCCAGGGTTAAAAAGATCTTCCTGTGTTTCCAAAAATAAATAAATAAATAAATAAATAAATAAATAAATAAATAAATAAAAATGGAAGCTAAAACTAGAGCAGCGTAAGCGCTATCAGAATCAAGTAGAGACCTTCCAGTGGCGTTATCATCAACACTGGTGATAACCGTTATCTTCCAGATAGTCGCATACACATAAAGTTACCAATAACCAACCAATACCATACACTGTTCAGTGATCATGTTGCCCCAGTGGCCAAGGACATTTATCTAATGCGGCTTTCAAATATTTTATAAATTATGTGCACAAGGTTCTAAGGCTGTTTGTGTGTGTTCGTGTTCCTGTTTAGCTATCTTTGTGAGGACCGAAAGCTGCATTCTACTATACTTGTAAGAACCAACAGTCACTTGTGAGGACACACACACACTGGTCCTCACAAGTTTGAAGGCCTTTTTGAGGCTCAAAATGTGGTTTTAGTGTCAGGGTTACAATTAGGTTATGGTTAGGTTTAGGATAAGGGTTCGGTTGAGGCATTCATTTTTAACGGTTAGGGAAACCATTATGTCAATGAAGGTCCTCAATAAGATAGTTGAACGGGCGTGTGTGTAGTAAATTCGAGTGCATCCTATTGATTGTCATTTATGAGATTTATTGATTTGGTAACTGCAATTAGAAATTCTGCTTGGAGGTCAGATTCTTCATCGATTCCTGATCAATTTCCTGTGTGGCTAAAGCAGCTCAAAAGAATAAAAAACAAAAAAATAAACAAACAAACAAAAAAAACAACCCCAAAACAAAACCATACCATCACTAAAAACTGATAAGCCTGAAGTGATATGACTGAACAGTTTAAAGCTGGTTCACTGTTGTGAGTAGACTGCATATGCAGGCTTTCATGACACGTAGCCGAGCTCTCTACATTTTCTGATCTTTGATCCAGCCTGTTGAAGTGGTCTGCTTCAACAACACTTCTGCAATGCGACATGAAGATCAACTCCCTGCTGAGTCACAGAGAACCACTTGAAAAAACAAGAAGACCAGACTCTCAACACCGATTTTCAAATAACACGGTAGGAGAGCACACGAGCGCGCACACACACACACACACACACACACACACACACACCTGATTTAACTGTGATGCTGTGTGATTTGGATTGAATTTCAGGTTAACAGAAGAAAAAACAAAAACAAACAGAGGGGCCATCCAATGCTTCTCACCTTAAAACAGGAGCAGCCCAGCATGCAGTGAGAAATCACAAATACAAGAAAAACATCAGAGTCCACATTTACAGCCATCACGCTGCAGCTGGTCTTCTTTTAAGCATTGCTGCAAGCATTCAACTACAAGGTCTTGAGCTTGCATGCTAGATTTACTGCCTATGTTCATAAGCATGTAGGGGGAGGATGAGGATTTTTTTGCCGTTTTGTCTAGATCATCAGAACCCTCTGGAGGGTGCCACTTTTTTTTTTTTTTTTTTTTTTTTTTTAAATTCTATTTGCAAGCTGCATGAGCTTTGCGATGAAATGGCTCCTGCAGGACAGCACTAAAATAAAAAGCCTGCTTTCAGTGCTGTGCTTTGTTACCAGACGGGCCTCTGGCCTTGGCATCGCATCTATCTTCAGGCCTTGATGCTGCAGCGGTAGCAGGAGCACTGTTACCCATGCAGCTCAATGGGAGCCTATTACAGACCTCGAGGCTGCGAGGGTGTTGCAGTTCAAAGAAAGGTGGACATTGATGAAAATGTGCAGGTTAGACTTCAGAAACATGTCCATAACAAATGTCAGTAAGGAAACCACTCATAATTAAGAACACCTGGTGTATGATTGTAAAAATACTTTATGGACTGGAAACTATTAGTTTATCAATGAAGAATTATTTAGCAACAGCAGTTATTGATTAAGGGTTTCGATTTGTTCATTGATCCATTGCCTCATTTGTTTTTTTAAAATTCATTTTACACGTGAAGTAGTAGCGTACAAATCAACAATGAAAACACTTATTTAAGAATTACACTTGTTAATAATGCAAGAGAATAGTAAAAAAATATAATTACTAAGTGGAAACTGCCGTTTGTTTTGTTTTTTTAATTATAAACACTTCTGCAATCCAACCCTCATCAATTACATCCCCACGTGATAAGGGCTAAAACATATTTGTTATATATTATCATTATTATTGTTGATATTAGTATTTATTTTACATTCTGAACTAATTTGCTTAAGTTGGTTAATTTTACGCCACTTTTCTACAAAACTAGCATAGAATTTAAAAAAAAATTAAAAATCTATATATATATATATATATATATATATATTTATATATATATATATATATATATTATATATATATTATATATATATATTATATTATATAATATATATATATATATTATATATTAGTATATATATATATATATTATATTATTCGCGCCAGCCTTGCTTCCAAAATTCAGGCCGCTATATGACTTCATTAACACGTGTAGCTTTTTCACGTACTCTGCGGCTCCGCCTCTCGATGTCTACGTGCTTCGGGACAGCTACACCCTGACGGGAAACAACCTCGTCACAGCCCTCACCCATCACCGCTGCCACCCACGTTTGTACCCGACAAATCACGCATAATCAAGCACATGTAAAAACTGATAGCGTCGATCTAAAGCGAAGGAAGGCGCAACAGGCTCGTCTCCTCCACTTCCATCCTTGAAGGTCATCACTTCTGCGCCCTTCCTGTTGCGTACTTCGATGATGGGGCCGAAATGCGCAACTCTAAAACGACTGTTTTTCAGAAGGTGATAGACTTTTAGGAGTTGTCTGTCAAATTGAGATGACATAGCATCAGTGATACAGCTAATGACGCTGTTTGTTCATTTATGGCTAACAGGCTAGCTTTTGGAAGATACAGCTAGCTGTAGGTTCAGTCAACAGCATCACATCCGCATCACCATCAGAATGAGAGCCATCATGGCTGACGCGCTCAGTAACACACAATAAACGTTTAAAATTTTAACAATTTTTGGATGAGGTGACTCTTACCTGCTGATAGAGATCAAGTGAGGTGTGCGCAGAGGATGCGGAACGGTCTCCTGTTTCACTGCTGCAGCGCGACGTGACCTTTTAGAAAGCCTGGGCGGAGCTTAAACCAGGCGTCACGGCACGAAGCGACGGGGCGCATGCGCCGCAGAGCTCCAGAGTGATTGTGCATCTTTTTTTCTTCTTTGTGGAGACAGTTTGTCCTCTGTTTTCTAAAAGTACCAAGGTATTTATAGATGATGATGGTAAAATTGACAAAGCGATTGTGAACAAAGGCGGAACTTCGCCTCCTACAGTGTAAACTGTTCAATAAGATAAAAATAATTTACTTTAATTAAATAAATTCTGTATTTGGTAAGTCTTTTTTCGTCCTAGTGCTAAATAACCTCTGAAAATGATTAATACTCATGTTTTGCGGCCTAGTTATAGACAAAGCTGAGTGAACTTTTATGACTTTCACATATGTTAGATTTCTATTCATATTATTGTTTATGGTATGTTCTGATACTTCGGTAATGTAATTTGTTGAGAGGTTTCTGTAAGGCATTTGAATTGAGCATTAACAATAATATGACCTTAAAAGGAATTTGTTTTCATAAGTTTTTCTGAGATGCTGAGCTCCCCCTGGTCAAATGCAGATCTGCACTTGGTGATTTGCCCGCATACCTCTATTTTAGTTGTGGCCTAATATACATGCTCCATTTATAGTGCATTTTGTACATGTGTGTTGTTTCTTTCTTCTCACTTTGTGTAAAGATGACACTGTTGGTGCTAATGCCAACTTTCTATTTTGTGGTCATAGAGGGATGGACACTGTCAGAGTCAATGCTCAGCTAGGCTGGGCTGTTTAAATGATGCTCAGTTGGTACTAATTTTTCTTTTGCTAGCACATGGTGTGTCTTCTGCCCATCCGCTTCAAGGTTCAGTGTGTTGTGCGTTCAGAGATGCTCTTCTGCATACTTTGGTTGTAATGAGTGGTTATTTGAGTTGCCAATGCCATCCCGTCAGGTCTGATGTCAACACTGCATTTTTACCCCAGAGAAGTGCCGCTCATTGGATATTTTCTCATTTTTCTGTAAAACGTAGAGATGGCTGTGTGGAAAAGTCCCAGCAGATCAGCAGTTTCCAAATTACTCAGACCAGCATGTCTAGCACCACCAACCACACCACGTTCAAAGTCACTTTAATAACTTTCTTCCTCATTTTGATGCTTGGTTTGAACTGCAACAGGTTCCACCCTGACAGAACAAACCAGCAGAACTTTGTACAGTCAGAGTTTAATATTCCATCTGTGCTACATGGCAATTACAAAAATACATCATAACATAACATATCAAACATCAAAGAGTATTAAAAAAAAAGTCATATAAACTTTATAAACAGGAATATATACACATCAGCATTCGGTGACCAGAAATAAAGAAAGGTCAAGGATCACACACGAGGCATTCTGGGCACACATTAGGGCATACTTTACAAAAATAAATAAATAAATAAATTACACTATAATCAGATGAGCAGGTAAGTGCATAAAGGTGAGATTACTGGCAAGGGCTTACCACATCCACAGACCGTAGAAAAAGCCCTGTATCGATCAAAATGTTAAGTGGAGGTAAACGGTACTGCTGTTCCAGTCCCAGCTCTGATCTGCACACTTTTGTACAGCTCTTGGAGTCAAAAATCAAGGCTGAATGGGAAAACCACCAAGCGCTCCCCTGAGACGTAGGTTATAAATGATGAAGCTAAATAAGGTGTTGAAGGCATACACATTTGAACCTGATACTGTGTCACTTGCTCGAGGAGATGATGTAGCAAAGGTCAGGTTTGGGGAAAGGTCGGATCGTGGCATGAGCAAAGGTACAGACTATGTTTCAAAGTAAAAGTTGCACAGATTGAGGCAACGAGTCTTCCATCCGCTTCTGCTAAAATAACTGCAACATCTTGCAACATGAAAATAACAGCAGAGATTTTGAAATCAACTAACCTAGCTGAAAGGATAACTATGGTTTGCACACTTAAAACATAAAAGAAAAAAATATTATGATCTATAATATTATGATCAGCAAGCATGACATTTCCACAAGGGGTAAATTTCACAGCATTTGTCCACTATGTATTAACACGGCAGCCATGATGGTTTACTGGAAAGTGGATGCACAATAGTGCAATCTTTCTTGCACAACTGTTGGGCAAACAAGTGTGCAAGAAACTGTGCAGCGGAGAAAGGCAAACACATAAAGGAAGAATAACTTGTATTAAGCACGTCACAAAACATAAAAGTCATTGAAATATGCGTGGAGAAAAAAAAAAAAAGGTGATTTCCATTAAGTCAGTAATTTTAAAGTTTAGAAAATTTTTAAAGGCGCACCAATTCAAGGGTGAACAAATGTGCACAAGTGTGCCTTTACACTGTAAACTCAGTGTCTGTCAAACAAACACTTCTCTGCGTGGACCTTTTTCCTGAGCAGGATGCAGTGGGAGTGCTGGGCCAGGCAGCGGTACAGCTGTGTGAGTGTTTGCGCTGGGATCCTGCTGCGAGTGTGGCGTGGCGGGTGGGCTGAGGAGCGAGTCGTAGTCGAAGCCTTTGAGAGGCTGTAGGGACAAAGTGAGGCCTCGTCGAGCTTTGGCCGCTCGGTCCGGTCTCTCCCGCAGCTCCAGAATCACCTGACAGCAACAGAGAGGAGAAGTCAAGACTCATGCTTCAGCTTACAGAGGAAACAACCAAACCGAGGACATTCAGACGTCTCGTCTGTTACCTCCATGGGCTGACGCTGCAGTAGGTCGAGGTCAAAGGTTGATCCGCGGAAGAAGGTTTGCCGCTGGAAACGATCAAGCGTCCTCAAGCGACGCGAGGGAGTCTTGCATAAAAGCTGGACAGGAAAATGTGCAGATGATGATCTGACCGTTCAACTGGCTCGCTGCTTAGCAGATATACAATAAATGATTACCTCTGTTATTAGCAAGGCCAGTGGGGAGCTGAGGCTGAGGGGCATCTCATAGGGGAAGCTCCTCACTTTCCTCAACATGTTGCAGTGGTCTGGTTCAGGAGCCACGGGGAACTGACAGAGGGAAAATTCAGGGGATGATTCATCTTTTGCTACTTTGATAGATTAATACTTCAGCATGCCAGAACATTAAATGAACACAGTCTTTCATGCTCATGTGTCACTGAGAGATTAATCGAACTGCTGACCGTGCAAACAGGCAACAATAGCTAACCTTCCCAGTAGCCAGTGAGAAAAGCAGAATTCCCAGTGACCACCAATCAGCTGCATGGTTGTAGGGCCCACCACTCAGCACCTCAGGAGCTGCAGAGGACAGAGAACCCTCACAATGTTTTTCCATTCATAAATTCACCTCCCAGTAAAACATAATTAGATACGCTCTAAATGCTTCCAAATCCCAGCATCTGCAGCTGTGGTGGGATGAGCTGCAGGGGAGGTTAAGAGTGGATGTTTTCCTCACCCATATATTGGATGGTTCCACAGATGGTAAAGGCTCTTCCCCCTCTCTCCAGGCGACGAGACAAACCAAAGTCAGCTAGCCGGATGTGTCCTAGAAAAGATCATTTTCTCTATGTTATGATGAGTATGAAATCCCAGGCTATTTTTTTTTTAAACTGATACAGGCTGGATTTTTATTTGTATCATAATGCTCCCTCATAGTTTGCAGTGATAGGTATTGATTGATAGACGTGCACAGCTCTGTTTTCTAGAAGCTTCTGTGCTTTTCCCTCATACCAAAGCTATGCTGCTCTCTGCTGGGGACAAGATTTACTTACCATTGTCTGTCAGCAGGATATTTTCCATCTGCAACAACAGAGCAAAATAAATAAATAGGTGGATGAGATTACACTCTTGCACTGAATTCTTATGCCACACACCGTGTCTGCCATCGGATTACTGCGAAACACTGATGAAAGGAAACCTGTAGCCTGTAACAAAATATTAAAACAAAACAAAACTCTAAATACGGTATCTGATAAAAACACAAAGTATCAAACAAATTCTACTTCAATAAAATATTTTGTGGCAATTTAAACACTTTTAATGCATTGTACACATTGTTGTGTTCATGCATTGACTAAAAAACAGGAATGAGCAGTTTAGAAACTTTTTAGTAAGTATTCAGTATTCAGCCTTACAAAACCAAAAACAGACTTTGTACGTGTGCATGATGGAAAAGGAAGCTGAGCTTGCTGTTCTTATATGAGACGCAAAAGTAGGGCATCCAGCTGGAAAGGTTTCAGAGTTAAGACAAAAACTCTTCATGATAAATGTTAGGCTTGCAGCATTTGATATCCTTTATTCTAGCCTATGGTATTCCTATGGATACCTTACTCCATCCATGGGAATGAAGCAGCTAAGTAACAGCCTGATAATCAAGTGCACTTGATTAGCTGATATGCAATGCTCGGAGAATTTCCCAAAAACCCATTTCAGACTCTACAGGCCTCAGTTAGTATGTTAAATGTTAAAGTTAATGACAGCACACTTAGAAAATAACTGAACAAGTATTTGGAAGGATTGCTAGGAAAAAGCTTCTTCTCTAAAATAAAGAAGCATTGCTTAGTTTTGCAAAATTCCATCAAAACAACGCTTTCTCAGCTTTCAAGATTTCTCAAACAATGCCTGGAGTGACCGAAGTGGAATATCAGCTGTAAAATATCAACTGTCAAACACTGCGGTGACAGAGGGCTGATTTGGGCTTGTTTTGTAGTTATTGAATCAATAATGAATTCATCTGTATACCAAAGTATTCTAGACACAAATGTGAGACCACATGTCTTACAGCAAATCTACAGCAGAATGGCTGAAAAAAAAGAACCAATGAGCAATGTCAATGTCCAAGGTGGTGGGACCTTAAGAGAGCTGCTGTGAACAACTTCCCACAAACATCATTAAACTCAAAAAAAGTTGTAAAGAACAGTGGGACAAATTTCCTTTCACAATGATGTAAAAGACTGAGGACTGCAGAGAGTCCTGTGAAAAACCTTGATATGAATATGTGTTGCCTGAAATGATCTAGATGCCTGTGCTTAACATAGGTTTTGTGTCATTGTACAATTTTTTTGGTTTTTACCTTCACATCTCTGTGGATCACCCCAAAATCGTGCAGAAAGCCTGTAAAAAAACAACAACTAGTAAGCAAACAGGTTTCAAATCCATGTCTTCGTACTGGCAAACTGACCCATTCTGACTTTGCTGTGTTGCTGGTGGAGATCCTTAGAGAGCTCATCTGTTTTTAATAAGACCACCTCTGATAATTACTTCCAGTTAAATAACTATGGAAACGACGCTTTGAGCTAATTAAGATTTCTGAGGGGAAAAGTCAGGCCTACAGTGCAGATGAGGGTTCACATCTTTCATTTAATTAGTAATGTAATAGCATACACACCAAGCGCACATCCCAACTCTGCAGCAAACACTCGCACCGTGTCCTCTGGGAACTGACCAATCATCTGCCAGTAGGTGTAGAGGTCTCCTGTGCTGCAGTAGTCGCACACTGTTGGAGAAGAAACAGGATCAAAGCATGCCTCTGTGCAGCGGTGCGAGATGTGACTGGGAAGTGAAGGTCAGCGGGAGGTGGAACACAACACTGCTCAAGTTAGGGAAGAGACAAGAGTGAAAACTGTCTTTCTCTAGGAAGCAAGCAAGGTGGAATTTTAAGGCTGGCTGCCTTAATGGAGCATGACTTTAAACTGCATGTGTGTGCGTTTGTGATAATGAATCACCACACTGTAACTGAGGATAGCCATATTTATTTAACACTGTTACATAAGGCAACATAACAATTAAGCAACTGTTTAACCTTAATTGTTTTAAAATATCTACAGAGATCTTCATCGGTTTGTTGTGGTGACTTCCATGTACTCTACATTTCAGGCTCAAAAAATATGTGACTCAGTGATGATTCACAGTATGTTCAGCATCTGGTTTTCGGGGGCTAACTCGTTCTCTTTTTGCAGGGGGTGGAGAGGCAAACAAAGTGGGTCACACTTTCTGAGTCAGTGGCTAATTTGGAAAAAGAGGGTAAATGCTCAGGAGGAAAGAGGAAAGAAGTCGAAGAAGCTACACGATGCAGAGGGAGTGGTAGACTGGGGTTGCAGGGCTGGAGGGTGTTTGATAAAGGTGCGATTAAACGTGGGGTACAAGCTCAAAAGACCCTGAATTTTAAAGTCTCGACGGGAACCTCTTTGCCTTTTTTTTTTTTTGTTCATCGTGTTGTAGGAGCTGGGTTTGGGTGGGGCTGTGGGTAGATCTTGGACCTAGCTGCCAGTTTTGAGGTGAGAAAAGGTGAGGTGAAGTAAAGGGAGAGTGGATCTGGGTTGGATTGGGTCACCGGTCTCTGTCTGACTCACTAATGTAGACGTGGCGCTGTGTCTGCCAGCAGTCCTGGAGGTCATGGACAAATGGGTGGCGCACCTGACGCTGCAGGCAAAGGTCAAAGGTCAGCCTGGAAAAGCTCAACCGACCATTGTTTCTGAGAGATCACGTCACTCAGAATCGCATTAACTTCAGACTTTACAGGCACACGCCATTTTTGTGAGAAGGCAAATAAACATAAATGGTTCATCACCATCACAGCAGATTTTTTCTACCTTCTATCAACATTTCTAAAGTTAAGAAATCAAAGAATAGCACAATATTTACATGAGATCTTATCACTTATTAACTGTTAGCAGTAATTATCACTCACTGACTATTATGTGTACTTTAGAAAGCCTTGGTTTGTTGAGTGCTAACTGTATGAAATGCAAATATAGTGCCTTCGAAGTTAACACAAAACCCACCTGGACTACAACTTCTTCCTTTGACTGCTCCAAAACCCCGAGTCTTAAAATCTCTGCTTTAGGTATGACCTGTGGGCAGACACAAGATGAAATCAGGCCACTGTAATTATAAATGAACCATGAACACAATTATCTCACAGCTTCAGTTTCCTGCAACAGCCTGATTGGTATTTATGTTAGAATTTAAACGCAGAAAACCTATATGTTAAAACCCAGATAATCAACACTCACTTTAACAGCATATGTCTTCTGTTTGACCTTGTCCTTCACTTTCAGGATGGGTCCAAATGAACCTTTGGCGATGTAGCCCAACACCTAGTGAGGCGAGAACAATGCAGACACAGATACAATGGGATGGTGTCTAGTTAAAAAAAAAAAAAAAGTAAAAGCAGAACATGAGGAAGCTTTGTTCAATCATAAGACGCGTGATGTGGCGCTGGCGTTCAAAATGACCCTCACCTGAAAGTGTTCGTGGCCAGGCACAGTTCTGTGGGGGAATTCGGGGAGGAACATGGTAATAAACCCCGGCAGGCTCCACTCCGCTCTCAGCTTGTGGGGGCCAACTCCTGCCAGCCTCAAGACGTGGTCAGGGATCTCGGGGGCTTTGCCCTGGAGCATTCGACGCTGGCCCAGATGAAGGGCAGACGGGGCAAGGCGACACAGGCCTGCTGGGACAGACAGGCCAATGTTTGAGAGGAAGCCGCGCCATCCAGAAGATAAGTGCTCATTCTCCTGCCCTTCGGAAGGCCTCTGTTGGGGAAACAAAAGATAAAGACACAGTTTTGTAGATGCTACAGAAGAAACAGGATAAAAAAACATTTAGATTGTCTGTTTTTATTACACAAACTCCTGGAGAACAAAAATGAATAGACTGTTCATTCAGAGAGTGTTTTACGCAAGGTTAAGTACCAACACTTATCAAGGCAGGCGTGCACTGCTGAAAGCGCCCTTCTGCTTTCACTTGACCTTTTGGAAACTAGAACACACAAAGAAAGTTGGCACAGGACAACCTGTACTGAAAAATGCTTTGTAAAAATACAGAAGAGAATTGCCTAAATGCTGCTCTAAATTTACAGACCAAGTCCAAACACAACTTACTGTAGCAATAACTTGAATTAGTCGTATTCTGTATGACTTTATCAGTCTCACACGTTGCTGTGGAGGAATTTTTGCGACTTTTTCTTTGTATCGTTGCTTCAGTTCATTGAGATTTGCAGGCATTCATTTATGAACAGCACTTTTAAGGTCCCACCAAAGCATTTCAATCAGGTTAAAGTCTGGATTTTGACTGGGTATTGACACCTTGACCTCAAATTAGACTGTAATAAACTTGGGTATAAGAGGACTTTGTGGTCAACTCAGCGACTGCAAAACAAGCTCAAATCATCACCCCTCCACCGACGTGTTTGGCAGTCGGTATAACGTGTTTGTGATGTTACGCTGGGTTTGGTTTTCATCTGTCTAAAGGACATTGTTCCAGAAGTCTTGTGGTTTACTCAGATGCAGCTTTGCGAGCCTTAGCCATACTTGCAAAAATGTTTTTTGTAGAAGTTTTTTTTTTTCTTAGTAACCCTCGCAACAACTTCGTTCAGTCTTTTTTTCTAACTTTTCCTCCTTTATTTGTACTCTTTGTTTAACATCTACAGCTCTTTTGTGATTCTGTATCTTTTATAGTCTCTCTCTCTCTCTCTCTCAAACACACACACACACAGCACTTGTGAATTTTATCTTAGTGTTTGTTAAAAAACAAACAAAAACAATGACACATGTATCTGGGGTTGTATTTAAATAATTTTACAACCTGCCATAGATTTGAAAGACAGTACACAATATATACTTGATTTAATTTATAAAAGGTTGCTTTCCTAACGATTGTGGCTTACTGTACAAGACATCAGACTTTGCTATAATACAGCCCCATCTTCATCCCTCAAATGCCTGAGTGGAGCCGAGTGGTACAGCATTTTCATGTAACCATTCCTGCTCTCATATATAAAAACACTCCCTGGTCTGCATCCAAAGTGCAGTCACCGGGTCAACAAGCCCCCTCCCCGTGGGGCTCCTGCTGCACATCTCTGCAGCTATGTAATGCAAGATGCGCATAATCAGCCATGCAGAGTGTCATTATCATCCGAGCAAAATAAAGGGGCACATCTACTCCGCTGTCACTCTGCTAAACAGCTTCGACCAGTGACCGCAATCTGGGGAGTGTCAGACTTTTGTTTGAAAAGTGACGAATTTGCATTCAAAGTGAATGGTCTCACCCCATGTATCGTAACGTGGGAATAACACATTGTAATACTAATTGGCGACTTTTCACCGTTACGCAACTTCAGCACACTTTTCAGGTCCCAAGAGATTGCGGAACCCCGTCACACAGGGAACCCCCACCTCCACCAAAGCACGTGCCTTACACCTTAGCAACCAGATATCCAACTCACCTTCCTGTTCTTACTGCCGTCGGCCCCCATCTGTGTGACAGGACATCAGCGCAGTGCCCTCATACCGACGTCTGCTCTTCATTTAGCCATCCGCGCTGTTCCGCAACCTCTCCACGAACAACGGTGTCGGGCTGCACGAACACAACGCTTACCTTTCGCTAACAATCTGCAGCTGATCGGGCTACGCGGTGTAAAATGTGACAGATATGGCGATATAAAGAAAACAAGTTAATCCCGCGTATGGGCAACGTCAGCGTAAATCCGCCCCCATCACTACCGTCCAATGAGAGGCACGCTTCAGATCCCTGTGCTGCTGCTTGCGGTAATCAGAGCCGCACACATCAATTATACACGTCGGTGACAGTTTCTGTTAGGTTTGCATCATTTGCATTGGCGTGACTTGTTGTGTGCACAAAAGCAAACGTGTAACAGAAAAGCCTCCTGTATCTCCCGATACATTTTTCAACCCCCCATTCACTTGTTCTAAAAATAAACCCATGCATGCATAATATGTGCTGTCTTAGCATGTTTGGAGGAAATGTGAATGCTGAATGCAATTCATTTAATTAAAAATGCTACAGCGGGAGCACTGATAGAGAAAAGGAGCGCATCTTTCTCCCATACTGGCTTCTCTTCACTGATTCCCTGTTAAATCCAGAATCAAATTTAAAAGCTGTATCCTCACAAACTAGAACCTCACAGTAAGATCTCACAGTATCTTATCACCCCAATTTCTTCCAGTGTGTTTTTTGCCCTGTGTTCCTCTCCTACCCTGCAACCCATTACAGCAGATGGCGACCACTTCCTCAGCCTGGTTCTGATGGAGGGTTTTTCTTTCCCACTGTCACCAAGTGCTTGCTCTTTGGGGATCCGTTATTTCTGTTCATATTTTGAGTTTGTTTTTAGGAATTTTGTAATGTTCTTTAAACACATGGAAGCATCTGGTGGGTTAATTAATTGTGCATATGTCCTATATTAGATTAGATGCTGATCTGACTACAACACGTGGGGTTTTCTCTCTATTATATCTTTAGTGTAGAATATGAAGCCCTTGAGGAGACTGTTGTGATTTGGCACTATATAAGTAAAACTGAATTTAATGCATGTTTGTATCATATCAAGAAGCAATGTACAATGTTGGCCATTAAATATCATGAGAAACACACAGCAATTTGAAGCGTGGTAACAGTACATTTTCTCGTTCCTTTTGAGTCTCAATATGTGATGAAACAAAGTTAGTGATCATATGAAGTACCAAAGAAGTTTACAAAGCAACTGGGCAAAAAGTAAAAAACAAACCAAATAGTGACAGCACAGGTGCCTTTTATTTGGGACTGAGAACATAAAAAGCAAAACAGAGCCATTGGTATGATTTTTTTTTAAACTTCTGTTACCAATGTATGGTCATTTCTACAAAATAAACCAATAAACAGGTGAGCTTTAAATAAGTAGAAAACGTTTGGGAATCCATGTCAGAGCGTTCAGGGTTAAAAGGAGCATCTGCTGGACATTTTAGTCGTCCTCATCAAAGTCTTTCTTTCCCTGGGGAGGTTTGGGTCCTCCTGCTGGTTTGGCCATGATGATCTATAAAGGAAGAAAACAATCATTTCATCATAAGAGCCATGCAGCTGAGTGAGTGGGCTTTATGGCAGAGTGGAAGCACATCACCTCTGACCTTCATAAAATAATTGATAGACAAACATTAACCACAGCATCCAAAATGTGTTCAATCTTAAACTGCTGTGCTTATTTATAAATGAGGGGACGATATTTTCAAAGTAAAAAAAAGACCATTTAAATCCCTACAGATACTCCAGAAGTCCATTTATAGTGATTAAACATTCATGAGCACACGTGGGAGTATGTTGTGCTTTAAGAGAAATTCTCTACACAGGAAAATGTACTTGTGCACAAAACGTGAACACTTAAAATCAAATAAATAATTAAAGAAAAAAAAATGAGCTCAAGAAATAATAATTAAACTCTGGGTCAGTTACTTAAGGCACTTCATGTTTCACAAAACATCTTCAACTACGTCTAAACTGAATTAATCTTCTCTTAAAATACATTAAAAAACAAAACAGTGTTTGATTTGGTACTTGCAAGCAGTTTGTGAGTACATGCAGCATGCTATCACACCACACACACTATCTGCTCTGTGCAGGTTTAGGCAGTGGCACATCTGGGTTTGTGTAAAACACCTGTGATGTGGTTGAATCCAGTCAGTAACGCAACATTTCTCCAGTGTTAGTAGTGACAGGTAACGCATACATATTTCAACCTCCTGTGAGTGACTGAGCACACCGGTGCAGATTTTTTTTTTGTTTTTAGTTAAAAGCGCACACACATTCCAAAACCTACTGACTGAGCGACTGAGGGTTTTGTGTGTGCCCTCTAATGGTGAGTTTCAAAATTATCAGGCTCTTCATCCCAACCGTCCTTGTCCCAATGGCCTCTCTGCTTGGGAGCCTTGGGTCCCCCTGCAGCCTTAGCCATGATGATCTGGATCGTACATATATGCACACTTAATTTATCCACCAGTTGCTTTAAAGAACATAAAAAAAATCCTAAAAAGAATAATACAAAACTCAAAATATAAACAGAAAGCAAACATCTGTGAGATGTGATTTGATGCGGTCTGTCGGATCTCTGGAGTGTGGCATTAAGTTTGTTGATTTGCCTCAAAGCCTAAATTATTCAGTTAAAAACCAAACCGATACATTAAAAGCCGTTTAATAGATGAAGTTTTGTAAACAGGTGAAAAATAGTCCTAAAGGCTCTTACTGTCTGACTGATTGAAGCAGTTTTCTGTCTCAATCAAAAACAAAAAACACAATTTCAAAAGTTCATAAAATATTCTGTATGAGGCTGGCTTTCATTACATGTAGAGTTTGTGTGTTAAGAATGTTTTGTTTGTACCCACCTGGTCCACCCTCAGCACTGTGATAGCGGAATTGGTAGCCAGTTTTATGCCCCAGTATTTGACCAGGTAGGGATCCAGAATGCCGGCTTCGAGCATGTCCTTCACAGCAGGACCATCACTCTGCAAACGACATGACAACCGCACATGTCAGTCAAGAATATGAGACGCTTCAATAGAAACGGGTATTAAAAAAAATAGACCTAGCCTGCTCAACTTAACTCGACTGTTTCTAGGGTTTCCCATACTCAGAAAACGAGACGTCAACAGACTGCATGCCACCGATTGGCTAGTCAGTGGCTAGTCAGTGGCGTTCCTCAATTAGTCATGAGGGCGTCTCCTTCACGAAAATCAAAAGCATAATTTTTGAAACCCGGAAATTAGGGACCTGGCTATGCAAAAAGAAAAAGAAAAAGAAAAAAAAGGAGGCAGCAGGTATAGCATCACCTCAACCTCCTCCATCGTCGTGGTGTTTGAGTCGCCATTACTTCGTACTCGACTGTAAAAGAAACCGTCCGAAACCGAGTTGAGCCAAGATGAGTAGGTACAGGTGGGAAAAAGGACTGTTAGTGTTAAGCTGTGTACCCTAATCTAAAAAGTGGTGTGCATCTACCCAAGTTAACTGGAAGCCAAAAAAAAAAAAAAAAAATCTAAACTGTGATTCGCCTGCTTGGTAATTACATACGATGTGAACATCATATTATTTAGCTTAAAGATCATGTGGAACAGGCTGCATCTGTCTCCATAGCGCAGACAACACAAATGGACTCGGTGGGAGCTCAAGTCCTTCCAGCATTTCAGTCAAGGTAACTGTTTTTCTCTCAAAGGCCAACACATGAGCCAAGTTTCTCTTGTGATGACAGAATAATGTAGTGCATGTTTTTAGTGCAAACAGCAGTGTTAGCTCCTCCGGCATTCACCGTCACGTTTTGGACACCACTGGTAATGCGTTAAGGACCAGTGTGTAAGGTTTAGGTGCCTCTTGCAGTGCCGTTGTAGATTGTAACCAAGGAAAACACAGGCTGAATATTTTAAACGATTCACATCTGAAATCAAACTATATCAAAGCCATCCACACATTCTTCTCATGCATCCATACATACCTCAATGTCAAAGCCCATGTTTTTGTTTCCCTCATGATGCGCAGAATACAGCTTTGAAATAAGCTCGCTCCCCTTCACGCCGGAGTTCTCAGCGAGGGCACGTGGCAACGCCTCGAAAGCTTCGGCAAACTTTTTAATGGCATACTGCTCGAGACCAGGGCAGGACTGCAGAAAGGCAGGAAAATGGTGTATCAGTCAAAATAGGACAAAACGAAGAGGAGAGATAAGTGTGTGGACTTGGAATATGTTAATTAATTCACTTGAATGTGCATACCTCTCCATATGAGGTGATCTGTTTGGCCAGCTCAATCTCAGTGGCTCCTCCTCCAGGTACCAGCCTGTTGTCCTAAAGATAATGAATGACAGAGAGACTGTAGCTGTTGTGCAAACTAAGTAGTACATAAAAAGAAAACCCCTTGAAATTTGTGAACTGTAAAATTCTCAATAACAATGTTTAAAGGGAAAGTTTTGCTCATAGTGAACACTGATAGCATAGTTTTAGTTTTTCAGTTCCTAATTCTATTTTAATATTATTATTATTATTATTATTATTATTATTATTATTATTATTATTATGTAAACAGGTGCTCAACACCGATGAGAAAAAAGATAAACATCAGCCTGAGTTGCTTTACAATAAAGACAATAATAATCTTTAAAATATAATTTGTGCATCCATTTGTTAAAACTTGTGATTCATCTAAAAGTAAGAAAAAAATCCCAACAACAACAAAATAACCCCAGTGACTTATAATGTCTACTTACCCTGACCAGAACTTTAAAGGTGTTGACTCCATCATCTACAGCCCTCTCAATATCATCCATCAGGTTGTCAGTGGAGCCTCTGATCACCACGGTTGAGATGGCACCATCCTCTTTATCTGTGTCAACACCAACCAACATGTTAACTCAGAAAGGTTTAAAATTAAGATTCACAAGCCTGAAGAACGGAGTCATTTACCATGTTTGAAGACCACCACCTGAGTGTCTCCCACCTCAGTCAGATATACATCATCACAGTGACCCATCTCATCTGGAGTCGGAGCCGTCTATGGATGACAAAAATGTATTTATAGTTAAAAATGGATGGCTCTTTCGAATACCTGATCTGATAAAAACAAGTGTACACTCACCATCTTGGGCAGAGCTACAGCTCCCACAGTCTTGCATAATCTCCTGAGGTCCCACTTGGAGTTAAGCCTGACGAGAAGGAAAAAAAGAACGTTTACGGCTGGGAAGCACACAATGCCAAAGATATACTATTATATGTCATGTAATATTTAACATACGGCCATCATATATTTATTTAAATTTCCCAAAAAATGCAGACACAGTTACATCTTGCACCTTCAAAATAAAAGTTTTAGTCCTAGGCCACGAAAGGACCATCTGTATTAGCAAAAAGATCAATCTTTACTTGGGAGAAATGTGATCTCTTAAGCGAGTTACATGAAACAGTAAGCTCAACTAGAAGAAACTCAGGCTGAATTTGCCGTAAATGTCTAGCTCTTTGTATATGATACGTTCCCTGCTCACTTAAGGTTTTGTAGTTCTTACCTGACCACCATGAGTTTGTACTTGTTGGCGTAGTGCAGCGCCATGTCAGCCACTTTCCCCCCAGTTACCACCACAGTGGCACCAGCCTCCTTGATAGCCTTCACGTTAGCTTCCATCAAATCCTCCTCTCCTTTACTGAAGTCCATGAGCTCCTGTGCATTATTTATCAACACTGTGCCCTGTGGAACAGACGGGACTATTGTCAGCACCGAGAGCAATGTCAGCATCATCTTCATTAAACTTAATATATCGGTCACCTCCACTTACCTTAGTCTCTGTCACCATGCAGTCGAAGGGGCAGGAGAAAACGGCGATCTTGGCGTCTTTCACTGATGAGATGTCTCCCTCTGCCTCCTTCTTAAAAACCATGCCATGAAGCATAGAGGATGCCGTCACCCCACAACCCTAAAATGACCACAAATGTTAATAGAGGACAAACTGCATACGCACACAAAATAAAACCAACAGAAGATGCTGCTTACCAAAATCTTGCATACTCTGACGTTATCAACATTGAAATTGCCGGTCTCTGGGAAGATCGATACTGCACAAAGAGGGGAGAAAAAGGAAGTCAGAAAAATACCAAGGCAATGCTAAAATCGAGACAA